AGTATCTTCTAAACAACTGAGGAAGCAATAAAAGCTATTGCAAACAGCAAACCTTGGACTATACAACATTTATACGGGGTCTCCTATAAAATGTCTCTATTGTTTAATTAATAATAACTTTCCTGCTTGAGTTTCGCCACAGGTATTATTTTAAGCTGATTTTAACTTAGACTTACGTATAGTGTAGGACTACGGTAAGAACTTTACCCTGTCCCCGTCTCACTTCCACACGGCAGTTCCCTGCCGACTACTTTTCCTATTCAGCATGCTCACTTAGAGTGCCTTCATACCGCGCCGGCAGCCGCCGCTAGCCGCTTTTTCGCACCATTATCCGGGCCCCAATATCGAAACCACAAATCTTGCTTAAACTTGGATAATTGGGCTTACTGGGCATGCTGACTGCAAATAGTATAATCTTCTACCGTTTTAGAAAGGCTTTGGAGTACTGGTTTAGTGCGCAAAAGCGGCTATAGACGGCTAGCGGCGGCTGCCGGCGCGGTTGAAGGCACCCTTACCCCGCAGTATTCTCTCAAATCTTCAGGTCAAACTTTGCAAAAAAAATGATAAGATTGTTACAATGTATATTTTTCCAAATCAATGCTACTTCTGTTATCACGATGCTCCCCCCCCCCCCCCCCCTCCTTCCGTGCCAACTCCGAGTTCCGTTACTCAATTTGAAAAAACGGGTACGAGTGGCATAGTGGTATGAGGCGCTGCTATAACCAGATCGAACCGAGGTTCGATCCCCGCCCCTGGGCCAACCAACCCTCTACCCTCCGGGGACGGTAAATTGGCACTAGAGTACTCTGGGAGGATAAAAGCACTGACTTGGTAATCGGCTGGCTCCGCAAGTCATGTAAAAGGCTCGTACACATTCAGTAGTCTCTTCGAAATTGACGTCGAGTGCGTTCGGCGCATGCCCGCAGAGGGTACTGAAGACGCCGAATCCTTTGTCCTTTATCCTAATTTGAAAAAAACCATAAAATCGATACATTAACAAATGATTCTAGTCACAACTCGAAAGCAAAATTGATGTATTCAATAAAAGCAATCAGTAATTCTGAGGATGGGAATTTATTCTAATCAGCGTGTTCCTTTATTGTGCCAAAATATCTACCCCTTAGCTCAACGATTGTTGACAGAATCAATAAATCGATAATGGATAATAGCTCACGCCAACAACCCCGTCCCAGATGTATACTCCTCACCACATCAGCTTTCACGAACATAAAGGCAGAATACACACATATGAATACTCAGCTTTATTTTTGAAATTAAAATGCAGTTGACAGATTCTGAGTAAAAAAAATATAGACCGCTTGCCCTTGAAAATTGAGTATCTATGAGGAGGCTTTCATCTGAAGAATGAAAAAATGCTTGGGTGTTAATAGAGCATGATGATGTGAGTTCAATAGCTCAAAGACAAAACTTTAATAGAATGAGCTTCCGTCTCCTATAAAGAAGTGAACCTCAATTACTCGCACACCCCTCTTGCAAAGAGGTGCAATGATTTCACAAGTAGTCGACATGAAAGGAGAACTACGCTCTTCATGTTAGGGCAGGCTGCAAGGGACATACTTTTTTTAATGCACTTTTGAATTCCGCCTCTGCTGGTTCTGACGACAAATTCATATTGTCCTCTTTATTCCGAGGAAGGGAAAAAGGTTGCAAAGGCATAACAACGGTGCAGTACCAAAAAAATTGCACTACTTTGCATTTCTTTGCTGATCGAGTATCACAGTTGAAGAACTGAGCTAGCGAGGTTGTCTATCGTACATAGACAAAGAGGATATCTATTGATACATGAAAAATAGCGTGAACATGGTTTTTGAGAGAAAGTGTCTACTCGAAATAAAAAGAAATCACCCATATTTTATATGTTCTCTGGTCAACGAGGGCATTCATTGCCTTGATTTTGATTCCTGAACTTTGTTGTGAATTGCTGGCTAACAACAAAAAAGGAATTCCACCATATTTTTTACTAACAAGCTCGTTAGCAGACTCAAAGCCATGAAGATAATATGCAACTTGTCAGGATTGTTTTTGCGACAAAAGGTCATCAGGACCAAATGCCCGGTGTCATGCCCGCGGCTAGGTAGATAGCGTGCATAAAGTGGAGTCGCAGGAGGGCAAAGGAGAAATATCGAAGGTCAGAGACAAGATTATTCCCAGTCGAAAATCTCAAAGATGAATGCATATAACAATGACTAGAAGTGCTAAATCGCAAAGCTCAAAACCGAGCTTGACCAAGATATAATAACCTTTTCCTCTACGGCTTTCTACTCGAAATCCAGCTGATACAGAATTGTTCAACATTGACTAACTCTCCCTCTAGGGGCTTTTTGGGAAACTTGGAACTTCTTAGGTAGTATTCCTAACTATTAGGTTGGTGCAAAAGTAATGCGCGTTTTGCGAGTTCTCACTTTGACGTGTTTTAACTTTCTAGAAAATCTACATTTTACAATGCGGTAAAAAACATCAAAGGCACCAAAGCTTTCGCAGTACAGCGGGCATCTCCCTATACTCATATCACAACGGGCAGAGAAATATGGACTGATAAGCAGAAAAACTTTTTTTTTCTGAAACTTCGTCTTTAACTGATCATAACTTTCTTCAAAATATGTTAATATAGATAATAAGTAGCCTATGTTGTAGCCAGAAGCCGGTAATACAAAAAAGTTGAAAAGGGTCAAACAGAGAGGATCTTGCTAAAAGGAAAAAATCAAAATCCAAAATTACCCGCTATTTTGAACATTTCTTCGCAGGCCTAAAATCCTAAAATATGAATTTTTTTGAATTTCTGCGTAATGAGCTGTCAGTAGGAGGCCCACCCTTACGCTTACAGAAATGAGCAAAGCTTTGGCGATTGCCCTCTTCAAAGGAAATTTATGGTCACAGAATGATCAAAACGACTGCCCATGTTGAGGCGCCGAAATATCAGTCTAGGTAGTTTCTGACAACATTGTAAAACACGCATAATGTAGACAAATTCCATTAGATATAGTAGCTAGAAATTCAAAAGTTCACATTTATTCGGACTTGGTTTCTGGCCAAAAAAGTAAATGCAATGAAATTCTGGTTTCGAGCGCGGTTGTGTGAAGCTCGCTTATTCCCGAATAAGGAAACTAGGAGCCCAGTTTTACCACCCTTGGCTAGAGGATGAAAGGAGCTTCTTTAAGGTGTGCTAAGTTTTTTCCAAAGAAGAAAGTTTAATGGAAAAAAGTTGTCCTAAAACAAGGACTAGAAAAACGCGCATTACTTTTGCACCAACCTAATATATCTCACATACACAGAGGCTCTGATACTTTTCTGACGGTAAGAACAAAATTAGCAGAACCTTATCTAGGTCAGGACAGTCATGGGCAGTTTCAGGGGAAAGCCCTGAGAGCTAAACCTAGAGATTACAGGCTTACGTTGATGAGCAGAACGATAAAGTTGAAAAAGAAATGCGCGATATCTCATTTCGTACCTACAAGATGCACCCCAGAACTATTTTTAGATTCTTCTCGTTTTTCAACACGAAGACAATATAATTGATAGTCCCAAATAATCGTGTGTGACGGCTTTTCCTGTATTAGAGTAAGTAGCGGTGAACTGCAGCGCGAATTGTCAGTCTTACATATTGATTACAAACGAATCCACCATACTTACAACTGGTTTGAAAAACAATTCAAAAACTTTGAATGTTCACTCCAAGAGAACAACGCCTTATTTATTGCCAAAAAATCCGCCATTTTCACATATTTGGCCATTTCTATGTCAGCTCATTTTATTAAAACTACTCTGCTCCAATCGGGATCAGGCCGAACCGTCGGCTGAATTTGCCCGCACGCAGCGCTAGGGATTTGCGCTGCATAGCCGCGCTGTTTACTCCCGCCATTTGACTTAGTTGGGATTGGGGCAAACTGTATTCTCGAACTGGAGCAGATGCGAAGAGGCAGAAAAAAGCCCCTTGTTCTACTATACGTAGGGCAATTGAGTGATAAAAATTACAGCACATGTGCCTATACAAGCGTCCTCGTCATTCCAAAAACTGTGTGATTGCACCACTTTTGCAATTTGGAATAGAGATGCTGCTGGTGGTGGAGACACTACAGATCGGGAGGTTAGACTTTATAGAAGAAATCAAACGAAGCGATTGCATAAGGTAGAAAAGTAAGGGATCGTACATTTCAAATCGCACAAGACGCTTAGAAGAAATAGAGCATGACTTCGCAAAAAGCAAAATGAATTGACGAGGATATTTACGCCTTACTACCTCTTCAAGTCCACGGAAATCTGGAGGAAGTGATTTAAATTCACATTCTCTTTGTCTTGCAAGTAAAATGGAACTAACAACTTAATTTTATTTAATTAATTTTTATTGACTATTAATGAAATTGCTAGGATTCTTTACGGGTACTAGCTTGCTGGCTGGCTCCGGGCGGTCCTCTCAATATTATATTCGTAATTAGCATGCTCGCTTACTCCCCTGTGCCAACTCCCAGCCCTGTAGCTCAAACTTTGCAAATAATCAATAAAATCAGTATCGATCGATGACGAAAAGTAGCCTAAGACACTTGCCCGTCCCGAAAAATATGGGTGCAAAGTTTGGCCCTGATCGTTCCGAAAATGAAAATTTCTATTTGGAACATAGTACAGACAGAAATTCAGCTTTATATATAAGAAGATTAGAAATCTTGTTAGCTGATAGCTGCCGCTGTTCAGCTAGGGAAAGCGTCCGCTCATATCAAACCGCTGAAGATTTATTACTCATGTAGAAAGCTGTAAATTTCAAGTATTGCGCTGAGTTTTTAGAAACCTCTTGAGCAAAGTACTCGGCATTATTTTACCGTGAGACTATGCTTCAAGTCGTAATCGTTAGTGGGATTGTGATGAATAGAAATTTCTCTAACTTCCCTTGAAATCACACTACTATTGAGGTAGTAAAGAGTAAGAAAAACTTCCGATGAGGAGAAAAAGGATTGTGACCAGTTTTTCTATACGAAGCGGATTCAAACCTTGCTGAGGTTTTGGAAAGAAGAGCGAAGGGAGCTCCATGCACTGGCTGTCGACATTCTCGATGGCGATCGATGGTAGGCAAACAGATCGGAGATTCGCGACGGCGATCGGTCAAAGGGAAGGAGCTGCAAAATCCAGAAAAAATGTTTGAAGTGTGAAATCAAACTTTTTGCTCTGCTTTTCCGTAATTTTTCAAGCAATTGTTTGCAATTTATGCATATTCGCGTTTCGTCTCTGAGCTAACTGCTGTTTTTTCCAACACCGCAATTAATCATAGAAGTCTTCTCGCTTTTATTGGATTAGCATAACAAATGTAATACTAACATAATGTACACAGAACCACAGTAGTAGATCGAAATTTCCACTTACTAAATTTCCGGCCTGATCCTCGCATATGTCGCCATTTGTACGAGGTGCGACTCGAAGAGACATCGATGATGGTCTGAATGTATTCAAGAATTCATTGTTGTATTCGTACTTTAAAAAAGTATTGTAAAAGTCCGGCGTCATAAGCTTCAGAAAAGAATACTTTTTAGCGCTGAAAGTCGACAAACTATCTTTTTCATTTTCTTATTGACTTGAACGTCTACAGACCTGCGGGACGAAATGGGGCGTTATAATGAGTGCATTAGATGGTGTTGAGATAACTTTCTGATGAGGCTTAGGTTGTAACGAAAGTTCCCGGGCACTTGCGCAATTTTTTGCAAACTGCTGTAACTTCAAACAGGTTAATCTTTTTCAAAAGCTGAAAACCTTGCTGCAAAGACAATGTTGTCTACAATGTAGGCTCATTTTGTTGGGTCCCCAGCACTTCATTTCGGGCCACCAGCATGCGCAATAGGAAAAAAGGTCGATGGAATTTCAGCCTGTTGGTACATGCACTTTGCGGCATGAAGAGAGCTGCAGAGCTCATGTCCGGTAGTTATGTAGGCGCTGTTAAGGCTGTTTGCAGACTGTGTCAGATTTAGAGGACAGCCTATAGAAAAATTTCCTCTAAAAAATTGAAAGTGGGCCATTTGCACCCTGAATTTCCCATTTTTTGAGTAAACGAGTTTTAAGCCTTTCCTTTTTTCCACGGAATGAATCGGAAATCTTTGTTTGCTGCAAATATTGTTGGGGTAATGCCTTGCACGTCTTTTGGGCCCAAAATCGAGAAGTGACGATTCCTAAACGTCGACGCCGACGCCGACTGCGAAAACAGGTGCGGTCAAAGGCAAGTTTGAGAGTTTATAATTTTTGTGCGCCTATTATGATTTCGAGCACAGCTGCTGTTTTGAAATGGACAGCCTGTTTATTCACAATGACCAACCCTTAAACGGTTTTTCTTGTCCATTATGAAATGTCAGCAAAAAAAACTTTGAAATTTTCGTGGCACAGACTTCCTTTATTGGTGTCTAGATCAAAGAGAGCTTGATATCGATAGGAACTGGATGCGAGTCTGGAAAGCGTAGGCTTTCTTCTACGGAGTCATATAAAATAGTTGTCGTTAAGATACGACCGAGCCCAAAAAAATGAGTCTGAGGACAAAATTTAATTTGCCCTGAAACTTCCGTTCCAACCTAGTTGTAGAGTTTTCTTCGGACAGAAATTAGTCTCCTTCGAGTTTCATTCAAAATCTACTCTGATTCTGTGTGATTTTAGTGGAGATAAGGGATGCGTGGATTACTTTTTCCAGCCGCATAAGGATTAAATGATAAAAATGTATTTCTCTGTCTAATCGGATACATTTCCGACGTTTTTTAGAGTTGTGTGGTTCAAACATCAGGAAACTGATGTATTTTCCATGTCATAATACACAGCGTTTCAATGAAGTGCTGGATAAAAAAATTGATAAATAATGCAAAGAACAAGCACCAAGTTTGAGAGTTCTCAAAGGCTTTCGGAATGTTTCAGAACAGCGTTGACTAATCGACTTCACACTGTATTTAAAAAACCACTGAAAACAACAATAAATTTACAATCGTGATAAAACACCAGTCAGAGCGAAATCCTTTGAATTCAGAGCACAACCAAATATTCTTCTTAATTCAAATGAGAAGACTGTCACGTGAAGCAGCTACACTTCCCGCGGAATAGTGCTCACCTATGCTAATAAACAGATGCATTCTCTAGTGATTCCTGCCTCTGCGCTAGATTCATTAGATCCAATTCACTGCTCTCAGCAAATTGAAAGCTGCCTAGTGTGTTATAAAAAGCCTTGCTCATTTCTTAGCTGAGTGTATCAAACTTCTTTTCATTCGCTCTAGGATACGTTCCACGCCTATGCACTGAGAGGGCATGCTCGAGAACGTCACAAGGAAGTCTAGGCAAACATATCTTCAATCGACTTCGTTTTTTTCCTGATGGAAAGGGATGATGGGAATATCTAAGGTTGTTTTGGACAAGCTAGGACGTCCTTACTCAATTATTGATATCGGCATTTTCTCAGTGCACTGATTGAGTAGCTTAAAGGTACGGCAAAAATTGCCTAAACACCACTGGCAACGTTTAGGAAGTGATAGTGCTTGGCAAAAAGTTTTCGAAAGCCAAGACTTTGAGGTCCACATACATGTAAATGAATGTGGTTTTCTGCTCACTTTTTTGGTAAGAACGTTGGCAAAATTTTGTGAAATGTCCAAAGGGAAATAGTAGCATATTAAATTTGGGGTTGAAATTTATCAAAGTTTACATATAAACGGTGATTTTTGTTGAGAATAGTCTTTCTGCATAAGTCATAAGGTTATTAGCAAAAAATATATTTTATTTTATATGGTAAGGGTCCTCAGTTACAGATTTCTCAACAGTGTGTGTTAAGCACAGATTTCAAATGAATTCACTCCAGAATTTTCTGAAGCAACTACAACTTGTCCAGAACACTTTCGGATGCGCTACCAGGCGCTACATTGAAGATACATTCTTTTTTATTATTATGACTACTCCAAAATAACGCCTTTTGCTTATAAGATATCGAATTCGAGCTTCAGTAACACAGTAACACACAAAAGTGCAATGTTGAAGTTGCATCGAATTCACAAATATGTTGGTCTCGACGCATAGCTTCAGATCACAGAGAAACGTTAAAAGGATGGCGTATTTTCCGAAGATACAAAACAAGGTGTAGTTCAAAATAGCCTTAGCAACCTTCGAAAGATGAAGAAGGATTAGAATTGTTTTTCTAGGCTTATGTCTAGCGTATCAGCAATATCCCTTTGCTTTGAGGCCTAGCTCGAGCTAACAATTCACAAAGAAGTAGGAAAACACACAAAAATCATACAAAAATTGGCATATTCCAAAAAGATAACCCGGAGTGAAGCTCCGAGTCGATATCAATCGGCTCAAACTAATCTGCGTGCGTTTCTGGCCAACTTTGTCTTTATAACTAAGAAATCTTGGATAGCGGGCTTTAGGGAATACAAAGATACAATTGAAAGGTTCAAGCTTCTGCGATTCTGAATTATAAGATGATCTACAAAAAATAGTATTTCAAGGAGGAGTGGGAGAGAGTTTGATGAGCGCTTATCGTTTTTTGCTAGGGCAATTGCGTGCAAGGGCTGGATGAGTCAAAATACGATTAGCTAAGAACAGATTCCACTTTGATGTCAATTTGGCTACTTCCTGAAAAAAAAAGAGACTGAACCATACTCAATAAACCAATAGCTTTTAGTTGCTTGTTTGATGAAAACTCCAGAGAACTTTGGTACTAACAAGGAGAGGATACTTAGTCGAAAGCACCAATCCAGATGAGACATATATCATCTTAAAGCGCTTGAAAAGCTGATTCCAAACCTGTAGTTTTTAGCCGCGGAGCGGTTTTGTAGAAGGAGTTATGAGGGGTGTTTCCTTTTGAGGTTGAGGCGCCCTTCGCTATTGTCTACGAGCATTATAGGAACACAAAATGGTGTCGGCTGGCATAGTGGTAAGCAATTTGAATGGAGATTGCAATAAGGTTTATAATGCTCACATTACTTTGATTTTTTCAACGTTTTTAACTTCGATTAACATCAGTATCATCAGAAATTTCAGGCTTCACGGCTCCGAAGCCATTGGAAGCTCAGTTTTGCAAAAATTGCGATGCAGTTGCATGCGATTGAAACCTTAGTTATCAAGCAAGTGACTTACCAGTAAGCCAGTTGCCACCAGTTGGTACTCCTATGTAGTGCTCGTAGATAAGGGAAGACCTGCTGGGGGGCTCCTCAATTCCAGAGAAAACACTCCTCAAACTCCTTTTTCAAAACCGTTCCGCAGCTAGAAACTGTAGATTTGGAATCAGCGTTTCAAGTGCTTTAAGATGATATATGCCACATCTGGATTGGTGATTTCGACTAGGTATCCTCTCCCTCCAAGCAATGTATGGACAAAAGATAAAAGCATTAAAAAGAAAAAAGAAACGCTCCAAAACGTAATCGTGCTTTCTAGAATGCTCAGCTAGTATCGTAATAACCGTGCGCTGCACATGCTGATGACTGTATATGAACAGAATACTCCACATTTCAAGATAGACAATTCCAAGAAAGAACTCTCTTCTCATACATAGAATGTGACAGCTGTGATGTTTGCTACAGATGAAGGTGAATTATACTCAAAGCATAAGGAAGGGAAAGTTCTTGTTATCTAATGCAGCAGAATCAGTAAGCAATCCCACGCATAGCTTGACATTCCCTATATTTGAAGAAGCTCTCTAAATCTGCACTTTGCTGAAAGATGACGTCGTTCATAATCTCTTGACACGTGAATCTGAAAATGAACAGTGTGCAAGTGAGCAACTTCTGGATTCATCGAATTCAAAGTTGAAAGTGATTGAAGAGGTGTCGTTTTTAATACAGTGCCCACACTGATTACTCGAGAGAAAACGCAAAAACTGACGATCCGCGTTTTTTTTCGTTTTTTCTTCATAACTTCCTTCAGACTGCAAAAAATACGAATCCGAAAAAAGCATGATAATCAGCTTGTCAAGGAAACCATCTAATATACTACACTCTCTTACTATTCCGTTTTCAGTCGCGGTTTTTGTGTGAGGACGTGTTTTCGTAGCGGTGTAACTCAGCGAAGAACACACATGGAAGATTCCAGTAAGCATGATTCGGTATAGGTGTTCTCGTAGATTATGGTGCGCTAGCGCTTAGTGGAGGGCTCTCTTTCCACAAAGAAAGATGGCCGGTGAATCAAAAATTCGTTGACAATCAAATTAGCTAGCGTAAACACACAGTAAGACTCTATTTTGCAAAGCTGGTGTGTTTTTCGTGATCAGCAGGCTGAATAACCACCATGCGCAAGTTTCAAAAGAAATTCGGGTCCTTTGATTTTTTCTCGTTCTAGGTTCTGACATCGCCGAAGAGTTTTGGCTAAAATATTGATGGTTTCTGGTTTGCATTGGTTTGAATATGCAGTTATGTTGGGACCATATGCACAGACACACAAACACACAGACATATGACAAGCAGACATTCGTTTGAATTTAGTATG